GGAGGAGAAGGGATTGCGGCGTGGCCATCCCTCCTGGGGGGTGATTTCTCGCTTTCTGTCTCTCTTGTCTCTGTCTCATTCTCTCCCTAGCAAGCTCATGCACCCTAAAGGAAAAACCGCTACCAAAAACCAAAAACTATATATTTCCATTTGTTACTATGTTTTAATTTGAACAGAGAGAGACAGAGAGGAAAAGGGAATGCAAGAAAGCAATCACCGGGTCTGGGATTTGAGCCACCATCAGCATGTGGGGTCCAGTGCCTTAACCACCATGCCACTTGCTGGACCAAGAATCTGTATTTTCTTGGAACTTTTTATTTTTTGAGAGAGAGGGTTTTACTGTAGGGCATGTGTGCTCACCAGACAGACAGAGAGAGACAGAAAGCGAGAAATCACCCCCCGGGGGATGGCCACACCGCAATCCCTTCTCCTCCATTCTCCTCTCAGGATCTTGGGCATGCACGCACACGCACCCGGTGTGAGTTTAAACCACCAGGTCCGGGACTCGAACCGTGGTCGACTACATGGGAGTCCAGCGACATAGCCATGACGCTAACTGCTGGTCCCTTTTGTTGTTGTTGTTGTTTTCTTAAAGAATTATTTTATTTAACTTTATTTCTTTATGTACTTATTTTAATTTTGACCAGAGAAGGACAGAGTGAGACAGATCGAGGGAATGTGAGAAAGCAAGCTACCAGGTCCAGGACTCGAACTTGGTGGGCCATGTGGGAGTCCAGTGCCCTTAACCACCACACCACCTGCCGGTCCTTCTCCTCTCGGGATCTTGGACGCGCATGCGCACGCACCCAGCATGAGTTTCAGTCCAGCCTTGGGGTCAGGACTCGAACCGCCGTCGACTATGTGGGAGACCAGTGACATAGCCATTATGCCATCTGCTGGTCCCTCTCGGAACTCTTGGACGCCCCAGGTTCGTGCAGGGGGGTGAGGAGGAGGTTCTGCGGAGATCTAGGGATCGGGGAGGAGCCAGGTGCAGGTACGGAGGGTCTGCAGGGAGCTCTGGCTTCATTCAGAAAGGTCTAAGCGCACAGCTGGGAGGGGACGGGTCAGGAGGCTGCGCTGGTGGGGACGGGGCCACCAGGACGGGGTGTCCTGTAACAGCAGCCAGCGGGAACGCGTCCCCTCCCAGCCGCCCCCAGCGCCCCCTGATC